CCCCCACCCCCACTTCTCTCTCTCTCGCTACTTCCAAGGTCAACGCAACTCAGTCTAATTCACTTTTCTTTTATGACAGAATCCGATCCCACTTTTAGCCAAATGTCCGTCCCCCCGTGGAGCAGTGATTTATCTCCACAGCTCCTCCGGTGGTGTGTCTGCCAACGCTTTAAATGTTACTGTCAGGATGTCCAGTTCATGACAGGGGAGAAAAAAAGTCAACATTGGTTTGTCCAGCGGTTGTTATCGTTAGGGCTGTAACGATACACTTAACTCACGATACGATTCACGATTTCATTGTTCACGATTTTCACAATTTCTTTTTAACAAATTGTTTCCAAATCCAATGACGTATTATAGGGGACCTCACAACCAACGTTTTTAGGAGCATACTACTGCCACCTACTGTACTGGAGTGTGTAGTGTCATGGTATGACCAGTGACTTATTGAGATAACGCAGTTAAGTTATGTAAATTGTCACAGATTTTTATCGATTTTTAACCACTTCATGATGCGTGGTTGCGTCCCTCGTCTACGATACTAGTTTTGGGGTCAGGTTTCTGGTTGTACTGTTTTGAAGTAGCTCCACTCGGAACAACAGGAAATCCAGCTCTTTACGATGTAGACTAATCTGCCGTCTCTTCAGTTCAACACGAAAAAACACTCACTTAAACAACACATAAGCCAGTGTAAATCCTTTAGTAAGAGCACGACAATAACGGCGGCTGATTTTTTTTTTCTTGTTTTTTTTATTATTATTTGGACGCCAGTGTAAAGATGAACAAGTCGTCACATCCTATATTTACTGTTGACGTTGGACTGACAGCTGTTTAGAAAGTGCTTGCACACATTTAAGACAAGCAGAGACTGAGCTCACACACACACACACACACACACACACACACACACACATACACACACACTCTGAGTGCCAGAAACCACAAAGGCAGGGAAGAATAGGAAAGAATGAGGAGAGACGTCAATGGAAGTGAAGCAATAGAGATGAAAGACGAATATCCAGGGACAGAGAGGGCGAGCGAGAACAGAAATTACTACAGAGAGAGAGAGAGAGAGTGTCCCGGCTGCCTCATTGTGTCCTTGTTCAGGATTTATGAGCGCGGAGATCAGGGACACTTTTAGGGTGCTGGGTGGAGAAATGGATGGGAAAGTGAAAAGAAAAAGGAAAAGAGGAAGACGGCGTTCCGGCCGGTACGCCGCGCTTCCTCGGAGCTACAACCTCTCAGCCTGCACCGTGGGCCCCGGACGCCCCCGCTGCAGGTGACAGGAGGAGAAATGGCGCGGCGGAGAGATGAACACGAGACGGAATAACAATATGGGACGGAACAAAAGGACTCAAAGCCCAGACATTACTGAAGATCAAAGGCCACAGATTGGATTAGCACTTCAAGATGGAAGAGCAGCAGCAAAAGAAATGAAAAAAAAAACAAAACAATGAGACAGAGGTAAGAGCGGAGAAGATCAAGGAGGTTGGAGAGCACAGGGATGTTGAGAGGAGGAGGGAGGGGGGGGGTGTTGGGTTGTTGGGGTGCAGGGATGGGTGCTGTAATCTGTCTGTGTCACAGGGATGATGAAGGAGCCAGGAG